CTGGAGAAAAACTGACTTTTAAGTGACATCAACACACAGAGGAAACAGTAGGGGGTGAGGTGAAACAGATGCTCATCCCTGCAGGAGAGAATAAGATCCTTGTGTCATTCCTTATCTCCACTTGGAATCTTAAGGGGAAAAATAACATGGCAACACCCCCCTTCATTCTGCTTCTTTTCCTCCAAACTAGACAAACTATAAAACACAAAGTTTTTTTTATTAAATACCAAAGGGAAAAATGAACTTGCATTTGGTCTGGTACAGTCTTTTAACCATGTGATCAACACTGTTCACTTTCCAGAATGTCTGGATGTTCTTCCCAGAACTGATCTCCAATGATATCACAGGAATGACTTGTGACCTTCTTTCTTGTCCGTGTTACATTAATTTCTGTCTCTCCTTTATCTGGCCGCTTGGTCAGTTTAGTTGTGGTTTCATTCACCTAAAGTAAAGAATTTGAGAATTAAAAATTTCACTTAAGATGATAGTTTAAAGAAAAAAATGTTTTGCAACTGCAGCTTACCTTTTCCCATATTAAAGTCATGCCTTTTTTGTGCAGTGGGGATTCATTATTGTAATTGATATTGAACTCCGAAAACAAGATCTCATTCTTATCTGCTGCTTGTGTTCCCTGTATATGGGAAAAATTATGCAACTTTTTAGTTTCTTCATTACACACTAGTTATGTAATATGAACAGACAAAATAACTGTACTGGAATTAGGTATTTTTAATTAAACTTATATGGAAAAATAAAATCTAATAAGGCACAATTAAACATTTATGTATTATATTGGTAATTAAGTACTGATTATGTTTCTGGTTAAATCTGTTTATTGGATAATATTCCTAAAAGACAGACAAAACCTAGTCAGCTTTTATATACTGCCATGTTCATATTACATTAGTGACAAGCATTCTCAATCCAAATTCTCGATCCAAATCTATATGATAACGGGTCTAGAAAAGAAAACAAATCAGAACAAACATAAAAATACTCAATTAAACAAATAATACTTTAATTGATCATACACTGAGTCTCTCCTCAGCTTGCGTTGTGGTCAGTCCACCTTTCTGCACCAGCGTCCAAAACGTAGTGTTGTACAAATTGTTAATGTGACCTGAATAGAAATAACAAATGTGAAATTTAAAAAATGTGAGATTCTGAAACAATTCTAAATCCACTGTTAAATATTTAAATAGTCTCTATAGCTAGACGTTCATTTCTAAGACCCCTAAAAATAATGGATTTTATTTTACATTTATATTTTAATGCATTATCAAAATACAATATATTTATGTTATTAACATATAGAACATGTGTACATTAATGCTCCATTAGAAGCAAATATTTTAATTTTACCATATTAACAATCAAAGGCTTGTCATTAAATAAAGTACAATCACAGGAAAAATCAAAAGTCAAAAATGATTCCACTTCATTCTATTATACTGTTTTAAGCATGTTACAGTCAAACACATTTTATCACTAAATCTACTACAAAATACATTCACTTACAATCTGCCTGTCTCCAGCTTAGATAGTCTCTTAGGTTACGATTGCTCGGATACAGAACCACCCTGCCATCAAAGCTGGGAGGGTACAGCAGCGGCTGCTCCCCAAAATACTCCTTCCAGTAGTAAACGAAGCTAGAGGAAAACTGGGACGTCACATGGGTCATTAGTTTACTGTAGAGAGAAAGGAAAATATTTAATGGGTGAGTTTCCTAGAAAGCATAACACTGGACAACCATCTTCCAGCTGTAGTGTTTGGCATCAAGATGGTAACTTAAGCAGATTCTGGCAATGTGTCAGCATTGTACCTGGCCCTTCTTTTGAACCAAGTGGTTGATCTTTTGAACACAAAGCTGAACTCATCACTCTGTCCATAGGCTATAGTGATGTCCTCCAGCTCTTCCATGACTGAACGGGCACTGCGACTCATCAAACCCAGAGCTCGGTTATCACTGGGCTTCATGAAGTTATGCTGCTCAGAAAACCTGGAACCAAAAAGATCACTTTGAAAATCACTTCAGTCATCACTCATTTTCAACCCTCCACGAAATTGTACAAACACAAGACTGCAATAGCATGTAACTGCACAGAAGCACTTACTTGTGGAAGTTGCGTCCATCTAGCCGAACCACAATGTAACAGTTTCTCAAACATGTGTCGTCGAGCTCAAAGTTTCTCACGTATTCAAATTTGCTTTTGGCCATGACAGATGATGTACTGAAATTAAGACTTAAGAGTGTCTTGTGCTCTGTAAGCCCTCTAAAGTTGACCGATAACAGTCTTAGCATAAGGATATCAGGAAAAATACGAGTTGTTTAATATGTTTAACTTAAATCATGCAGTTAGTTCAGAATATTTGTGAGGCGTAACCGGATAGCTGTCATCCAGAAATCGCATCGTCATGAATTAAATGTTAATTTTCATGTCTCGGGAAGAGCTTCAACGAGTGTTTATCTTAAAACGCGTTGTATTTTTAAATATTTAACATTATACTGTTTACAAAATATTATTCTTTAACCGGAAGTATGTGGTGTCAAAACTCACATGTGCGTAAGCGGTCATTGTATTGGTACGTCCCTTATAGAGTCCCTCAAAATACAGTTCTGAAAATGTTGTTCCGCCACACAGTTTACGAAACATCAGCCGCTTAAGAATATTTAAAAGCGTAATGACTTGCATCTGACACAAATAAAAAAATTCTGTCAGCAATGTTTTTAATAGAACGAGATGTTTCATTGGTAATTTTGAAGAGAGTTAAAAGATCATGCAAAGAAAAGCAAGACAAAGTGAAGCTGGTCAGTCTTACATTTGTTTGGCCAAGTGTTTATTTTATTAGCAAAAAAAAAAAGGTAAAGGTATAAATGGTCTTCCCACAGCTTGTCATCTGTCATCGTGTCACATTTCCATTTTTGTTAGATTTTCAAAAACATATTTAGAAAAATAAGCTGTAACTCCAAAACTTCACTCCTAAAACATTGCACTCAGAGCAGTTCCTACAGAAATAAAGGAAGAAATGTATATTATAGAAAGAAATATGTTAAAGAAAGACAGGACAGTATCATGAAACCAACTGACTTAGTAGAAAATCAAAGCACTATTCACTCAAAGTCACCCAGATATGATAAAACTGACACATTAGCCTACTTGCTTTTAGTACTAATATTTTTCATTTTAACATGTGGTAGGTGTTCACACATCTACTGTTTATAGGTATACTGATCACATCCTCTGGATGAGCATAGCAAACAACACTCTTAAACAAACATAGATATGAAAAGCCAAGTGAGATATCATAAGGTCCTCCACCTCAGCAGCGGCCGTCTCTCACAACCAAAATGTCTGCATTAGTGTGCCTAAAAAACAAACACCCTTTCAGTGATTCAAAATCACAGCATCCGTACCATAACTCTTACTAACTAACAACAAAATCCATACAGTGATGCTGTTATCCCACACAAACAGAAGCAAATGAATGGACTCACATTCTCTGCACACACAGGGTGCATTCATTGACGTATGTGATGCCATCATTACCACATACGGGAGAGTAGTTGAGAGGGCATGCTTGATTGACGCTCAAACCTCCACATGCAGGCTGTCAGATTAAAAACATACACAATTCATAGTTATGCATCATAAATCATCGTCTAATAGGTGTTTGTTCTGAGTTTTAGTGCATAAATGGACTTACCCTGCGGTAGAGTCTTGATTTATCCTCTGCACCTGAAAAAAAATGTGTACTGTCAGATTAATCTCATTGCAATAATTCTGTAGTTAATTGCAAATGGCACACATCAATGATTAAAATAATAAAATAATAAAGAGTGCTTTTTAAAAATTCCAATGGGAGTGACTTACCCACAGAGAGGATGAGGACCAGGCTCATCAGAACCACTGCTGTTCCAGTCATGATACTTAAATGAAGGAACTCTGGATTTTAAAAGGGTAATCTATATTTGTAAGTTCAGGCAGAGAGCTTTTACTTATAGCAACTGATGACTTCCAGCTCGTTTATGAGTGTTGCACTGTTGATGACCGGCAACATATAGTTTGAAAGTGAGGAGGATGAGGAGAGGTGCTGATATTTTGACGGCTCTCCGCCCCACCTACCCACCGTCAACAACACTGAGAACAGAGCCTCTCTATTGTCTCTCTCTTCATTAAGGGATAAACATTCCAGTCTGTCCAAAAATTGCTGAGCACAATCCAAAATGCATTGGTCTGTATAATATCCCTCAAAACAGGTCTGGCTGGGAGGTGTGTCCCTGTTTATTGGCCCCAAAGTGAAATAAATGGAATTCCACTAAACATGGAATGCAGTTAACAATAATTATGTAATGTAATATTTCACTACATAATTTAGCAGGGAATATTGGATTGATAAACACTTTGAACTTAAAAATGTATAAGTGTAGCAAAAGAGAACATCCTCTTGAAAATTTCTGAAATTAATATAATTTTTAATTCTTATGAAAAGTGCAAAATGGAACTCCCGATTTTAACAATTATATAGTGTTATAGAGGTGGAGTGAAAATATTGCACAAAACAAAACAGAGAAATTCTGTAATAACTTTTAAAAAAATCACAAAGTCATCATATTGATACTTTTAAGGATTTTTAATGTGTGTTTTGGAGTTTTACAGCTGTAAATTCAAAAAAATTTTGTGTGTGTTTGTGTGTTCTGCAAAAAAAAATAAAAAATAAAATCAGCATAAGAAATTCTGTAATAACTTTTTAAAAAATCACAGTCATCATATTGATACTTTTAAGGATTTTTAATGTGTGTTTTGGAGTTTTACAGCTGTAAATTCAAAAAAATTTTGTGTGTGTTTGTGTGTTCTGCAAAAAAAAATAAAAAATAAAATCAGCATATTGTGAGGGTGAATAAATATACACACAAAAATATACAGAAGAGACTTCTTTTTTTTCCTTTTTTTTTTCTAGCATTTGTAGGGCAAACTGTTTCCTTAATGTGCAAAGGATTAGTATTTGTTTATGTCATACATCTAGGTTGACAACCTTTTATCTAATCCTTATAGCTGTACAATGTTTTTTAAATAAATGTAATACGTTAAAGGCTGATAATAATAATAATAATACATTACAAAACAGCCCACTAAAAAAAATTACATATTGCACAAGAGCTGATTGTTTTATGCAGCGAATTTGAACGGTACTTATCGGCTTCCGTACTGACAGTGAACGTCGTTCAGTACTGCACGTCTCATCTGGCTTGTCAATCACGCTGCAGGTACAGTCCAGATCCAAACTGATAAAATGATACAATTACGCGCTATTTTCCGGAACGCGTCACGTCACGCAGAACACTGTCTGTCTGTGAAAAGCCGACCTACGGTGAGTTTAATCATAGTTTTACACATTGGGAAATAGCTCACATTCAACAGTTTAAGTTTTCTTTAGAGAACAATTGGATGATACTGAACCTGTGTGACTTTTTAATGGCACTGAATTAAAAGACAAACGCTAGTTTTTTGGAGGTGTGTGAGAGGACGCCCCAACATTGTCAGTCATATGATCATGTAACTCCATTGTTACATTGTTTGTTAAGACCTTGGCAGTGTCAGGAGTTACAAAAGCATGAAATCATTGCAGAAGTGTTTAATAGACACAATGTGTTTCATTAATGTTGGAGGCCCATATTTTTCATGCATATATTAATTATATAGTGAGGTCCAAATGTTTGAGACTACTGGTAAAATTGCTTATATTTTACATTCTACTGCAAAAATGAATAACAAATTATATTATGAGCATTACAGTTTCTGTGAAAAGTTTAAATGTCTTAATATGACCCTTTATGACAGCAGCAGTTGAGCTGCATGAACTTCAAACATTTGTAAAACCCGATGACCGTGTTCAGCGGCATGATTTGAGAAAGATCCAAAGAGCATCTTGTGAAAATTAAGAAAATCTGACCTTTTGTGCATAGGAGTTCACAAGGCTTTGCTTATTTGATTAGTGACTTAAATAGTGCAAAAACATAATGTCTTTCTTCTTACATTTCCATCTTTAGAGGTCTAAAAGAAAATGAATTCCCAATGCAGTCTGAGACCTTTTGACCTTTCTATATTTATACACAGTGTGTCTAGCTGTTCCGTTTTTAAATATAGGGTTGTCTCGTTTAAAAAAATGCTGTATATCGTATATACAGGATTTGGGACATAATTTCCAGACCTTTGTACTTCAGTGGGAATTGGCTTGTCTAAGCCTGTAGAATGTAAACATTTGAACAGTTTATCTTAAACATCACATGTTAGTTTCAAGGTTTTTAAAATCCACTCAATGTTTAGGATGGGGGCTGTGCCTTAAAAAAATCTTAGGAAATTGGAAGAAACACAAGCAGAAGTCTGGAGCTGCCATTTCTTTGAGTCAGTTTTATGTGATCTCATGGTTCATATAGATTCAGACAAGTGTAGTTGAACAGTTCCAATAATGACCACATGGTGACACTGGCAGTTTGTTTTCCATTTCCCAAGCAGCCCAGGGCATGGATCTCCACTGGACCTCAGCAGCAGCATGGAACCTTCTATGAGTTCCGCACCTATTACATCCAGCCGCATCTCAACGCGGCCTTCCTCAAACTGACCAATGAGAAGATCCACCTGCGGACAGCCCACTCAGAGCTCATTGGGTACTGGAGTGTGGAATATGGAGGTCTCAATCAGGTTTTCCACATCTGGAAGTATGGTGAGAATGACTGAAACGTCTAATCTATGCTTTTAAAACTTTCTAGGATTCATCAATATGTAAAATGCAACAAAACATCTAAATTTCTGACCTAGGGAGCCTGACTCTTTAATTCTAGGGGTTGGCAGGTGTCCCACATTAGCTGAGGCGTCCTGCTTCATTACCACTTATTTAGAACACTTGACTGGGAACACCACAAGTGTTCAAGATGAAAAAAAATAATAATAAAAAGAAAAAGTATAAAAATTTCCTTTTTGGGGGGGGGGCGTTTTTATACCCTTTGTGAGCAGACTTAGTAAGTTTTAGTCTAATGTGATAACATTAACTAGCATTTTCAGGAAAAATAAAATCCTCTCCAGGTCAAAATGACCGTAACACAAATAAGGGATAACAATTTTAAACATTCTTACAGTTAATGCAGTAAACAAGTAATCTTACTAAGATAATATGTATTTTATTTAAAATGTCTAAAAGCACAATGCAGCTCACATGCTACTCCATAAGAAACACTTCTTTCTGTCTTTGCTGTAATGGTGTTTAGATAGCTATGCTCAGCGGGCATCAGTGCGGGCAGCCCTGGCTCAAGACCCCAACTGGATTGAGCAGTACATCTCTAAAGCGATGCCCATGCTGAGCTCTCAGGATAATGAGGTGACGTACCTCGTACCCTGGAGCAAAGTTCAGAAGCCACCCAAAGATGGAGGTGAGAACTATGTGCATTAACATTCATGCATTGATTTTCAAAGGGGCACCAATGCATGCTCACGTGGTACTATAGGTGATATAAACATAAGCAAAAAAAAATTAACAACTTATTGATTGATCATAATGACTGTTTTCAAAGAGGTTTCCCGAATAGTCCCCTTTCTGTCATTATAATTGTGCATAAAAGTTCATAAATTGTTAACAAAACAAAGTTAGACCGATTTCAAATGCTCTAGGCAAACTGATCTAATTGGCTTTTTTTGAAAAATGTTGTTTATTTGTAGGGGTTTTCGAGCTGGCCACCTTCCAGATGAAGCCAGGCGGTCCTGCGGTGTGGGGAAAGGCGTTTCAGGCAGCAGTGGGCACCCACACAGGGTCAGGATACGCCCACGCAGTTGGGGTTTTTCACTCTGAATTTGGACCGCTCAATCAAGGTGAGTGTAGACAAGAATATATGCAAAATCATATTTTTCATAGTTACAAACTGTAATTTAAATATACACTAGTGTCCAAAAGTTTGGGGTCAGTAGTTTTTTTGGGGGGGAAAGGTGTGAATACTTTTATTTAACAAAGACTCATGAAGTAGACAACAGTACAGACATTCATAATGTTAAAAAAAAATCGTTCTATTCATAAAAGAATCCTGAAATAAATGCTGTATCAGTTCATAGTGAATCATAATTCAGCATTAACATCACAGGAATACATGACATTTTAATATATAAAACAATTTAATAGTAATGATGTTTCTCAATATTACTGCATTTTTGATCAAATAAATACAGCCTTGGTGAGCTTTTTTTTAATATATATTCTGTTATTTCCATGCACAGTGCATGTTTTATGGTGGTATGAGAGTGCAGACCAGCGGGCAGCGATACGTCATACATCTCATGAAGACGCCAGAGTGGTGGCAGCAGGTCAATCTTAAATATAACTCATTACACAGGACATTATCATACCATTATTATCAGAGCATTCTGGGAATTTTTGTCTTGGAAAAATAATCTATTTATGTTTTATTGTTTGTATTTTTTTTTTTTTGCAGTAAGGGAGAGTGCAGCGTACCTGTTATCACAGAAGAGCAAACTCATGTTCCCCTGTGCTTTCTCACCAATTGAATAAAATGCCTTCATGGTTTGACTCCAAACTCAGGCAAATGTAGAGGAAAATGTAATATAAGATAAGTGAACTGATAAACAGATTTAATTCCAGCAAGTTTTTGCTGATGGTCAAATAATGATTGTGAATCAAAATAATGCTTTGCATCACAGTAAGACTTCCACCCTCAAACTACTGCTGATTCTCACCGTCAGTGTTTCGCAACGTCATTCTTTTTCTAAATAAATGCTTACGTGTCAAAATCCAAAATGTCAAAATGTGCATTTTTGCATGAATAAGATGATGTAGTGATGTAGTGTAGCTTCTTTTGGTTACATTTTAAGCAGATTGACACTGAAAATAAATCATACGTTGAATTTCCCAATATGACGTCACAGATCAAACAGTGTTAGGGTTGTAGAATTGTCATTTTTATTGTCTAAATACAGTAAGTGTACAAAGCGAGTAACAGACAATCCACAGCCATAAATTTGAAATGTAAACCGGTATTAAATGAGGAACATCACTGTGGTACTAAAACTTTTTTCCCTTTTAGGGTTTTTTTTTTGTTCTATTGTTTTGGTCGAACCCAAACTAAACAGTAAATGAAAAACAGCAAAAACATTGTCTGTGGAGAATCCAGTGCAAAAAGATTAACACATTTTGACATTTAATTAAATTTCAATTAACACAGCAAGTAAAGTGCTTGGTTGAAAGGCGGACAACGCTGTCACCAATCCCAATGAGATCCAAAATACTGATTTAACAATCCAAACTCAATGTATGGACAGATCACACTTACTGTAATGAACGGCTATGTAATACAGCTGGAATCAGTGTTGTGTTTGTGAATTTCTGTATTTAATGGTCCAGAGATCCAATGAAGGGCACAACAGATGCCCTTATACGAAAGAAGGCACATAAATGGTATGTTTTAAATGATTTCCTTCTAAGTTGTTCATGCGACTCCTGGAGCATCCACTAGGATTGCCGTGTCAGTCGAGGTATTTGTTACATATTGTAACCGTAAAGCTTACTTGTATAAACTTTTTTTTATTATTTTATTAAAAAAAAACTACAAAATCAATCACTTTTCTTTTGCCCATGCACAAAGGCATGTATAAAGATAACATGAGGCACTCTTGGATAGAACAGCCTATAAAATAATGCCCCTTCTGACTTTTTAAAACATCTAAAACAATTGCTTGTTTATAAATAAAGACATATCAAGGACAAAATCAACACAGTACAGTTTTGCAGTTCAGCCCTTGGCCACGCAAACGATTCTGATTCTTCAGCATGTGATTCCCCAGTCTTCTAGTCTTAAGAAAATAAAATACAAAGACACTGACCCCGAATTATTGATCATTGGCATTTTCCATCGAGCCGATTATCTTGCACGATGAAAATCTATCAATATCGACGACTACGCAAAATAGAGTCTGTGCAGTCCGACTACACCAGAAATTATGTGACTAACATGGTTCAGATTCAGCCATGCTAGAAACACGAGAGAAGTCTTTTTAATTTCTTTTGCATTGACTTGCATTGAGTGTGTCAGCTGCAGTATCTGCCTCTCTGCTGACCGGTGAAGACGTTTATCTTCAGACAGAGGTCAGAACGGCAGACCTCTGAGCTCAAAGGCCACAGAACGGCAGAGCTCAAAGGCCACAGAAACATTGTGAAATATGTGGAATCCACTGGCTCCAGTTAGCATGTAGTGTAAAGGGAGACTCCGGCTCACACAAAGCTTTCTATTGGCTTCTCCATGTTCTCTTTAGCAGGCAGAGGGCTCAGGAGGGCCATGTTGACCGCTGTCTCTTTACGACGAATGGAGCTGTCTGAGGGGTCGTCACTTTGGTCCTTGGCAAAGTTAACAAATACCTGATGATTAGGAAGAAGAGTATTTAGTAATCACAGCTAGACAAAAAAAAACATAATAAATATAATTATATACTAAATACTCTAGTTTATGAGATTTAAAGACAGAAATTAATATAAAACATGAAATAAAACTTGACGCCCTATGTAGTTTTTAAAGGGGTCATATGATGCAATTTCATTTTTTCCTTTCTCTTTGGAGTGTTACAAGCTCTTGGTGCATAAAGAAGATCTGTAAA